CTCTGCTGGTGCGTTGGGCTTCACTATGTTGTCTGCAATCCGGTGACTAGCAAATCAGTGGTACTGCCACATAGCAACCTTTGTTATGGTTCAGCTCGCTTGGGGTTCGATCCCACAATCTCCTCGCACTTTCATGTGGTAGAATTGTGGGTAAGGTCGTCTGGGGTGTTAGTTGTCAGCATCTACTCATCCAAAACTGGAGCATGGATGTGTAAAGAATCTAAATGGGGAGAGGATATTCTAGTATGCAAATTTTCTAGAACTGTATTTCTTAATGGTTTGATGCACATGCTGGAGGTGTCCCACATAGTTGCTGTTGATATGGAGGGAAAGACATGGAGGAAAATTCTTATGCCACCAGGTCCTGCAATGTCCATCCATGGAGATTAGTGTCAGTTGTGTCTATGTATTGCTAATATTTTTAATACATTTCAATTTGGATCCTTAAAGGCTATGGTACTAGTTATAGATGGCCATCGGGCCATGCCGGCCCGGCCCGGCGGGCCGTGCCGTGCCGGCGTGGCGTCGTGCCTGCACAGGCCACCGTGTCGGCCGTGCCGTGCCGCTGCCGTGCTCGTGCCGCGCCTCTGGCCCAAGGCACGGCCCACGGGCCGTTTTTCCGTGCCGTGCCGCCCGGTGAGCACGGCCAATTTCACCGGGCCGTGCCGGCCCATGGCTCGGCTGCCAAAAAACCTCTCTTTTTTCATCAAATTTTCTAAGTGTTTCACTTTCACAGTTCACAGATTCCATTTCACAGACAATAAGACATAAGAGAGATATTATCATGATTCGTTGCGTGGGGAGGAGGAGACAACGATTAGAATCGACGGCGAGGTGGGCGAGGTAGGGTAGGGAAGAAGAACACGAACTCACATGGCTCACGGTTCACCGAGAGCGAGAGGAGAGGGAAAGGAGGGAGGAGACGGGGACAGCCGGACGGGGTTAGCGAGGTGGAGTGGAGGAGCGTCGACGAGGTCACCGGAGTCGAGGACGGGGCCGATGGTGGTGGCGGCGGTGGATCGAGATCTAGAGCAGAGCGAGAGCGAGGTGGAGCGAGCGAGAGAGAGAGACGGCTGCGTGGCCGCGAATGACGGGGTTAGCGAGGTGGAGTGGAGGAGCGCCAGCGAGGTCACCAGAGACGAGGACGGGGCCGATGGCGGTGGCGGCGGTGGATCGAGATCTAGAGCAGAGCGAGAGAGAATGAGGATTAGGGTTAGAGATTGGGGAGGCCGGGAGGGAATGAGGGATTGGGGCAGCCGGGAGGGCTCCTGGCCTCCTGCGCTGCGCTTATATTTGCCGTTGCCGGCCTTCGTGGGCTGCTGGGCCAAATGGGGCACCGGGACGTCACCGTGTCGGCCTGCACCACCGTGACGTGCCCGGGCCGTGCCACGGGCCAGGGTGGCGGCCCAGACATGGCCTGGTCCATCGGGCCGTGCCGTGCCCGTGCCGGGCCAAAAGGCCGGGCCATGGGCCGTGCCGACGGGTCTTGGGCTGCATGGCTTTCTATAGTACTAGTAAGTGGACATTGAAGCATACGGTGAACACGTTGTAGCTTCACACTCAATAAATGCGATCAAACAATCATTTAAGTATTGGAGTGCGATTTGGTTGTTGTTGGGCCTAGAAAGGGACGAACGTAGAGTGTTGGGGCAGTTGTATGGGCTAGGCAGACTTGTAATTATGGCCCCGTTCGCTGGTCTGAAACTTGGCTGAAAAACACTGTTCTTGTTGAAATGTTGTGAGAGAAAAATATTGTTCCGACTGAAAAAAGAAGTCGAATAAACCAAGTTTCAGACCAGCCGAACGGCCCCTATATTTAACAATGTATTATACATATAGGCCCTGTTCGCTAGGAGAAATCTGGAGGAATTTGTGAGAGCGTGAACAATGATTTTCAGCCGTAAACAGTGAATTCCGGCTGGTTTTTCAACCAGCCGAACCACGCCATAAGAGGTATTAAAGGGTACATATACTTGGTTATTTTTTAAAAAAAAATTGGGTGTAGAACTTTACCCCCATGCACCTATTGTGCATCGGCCCCTATCGACCGAAACCGAAGTGATCGAGATCGAAGTTTTCGGTCACTAGTTCGGTCCTAAGTCCATACTATCCGAATTTTTTTACGGTTAGTTCGGTTATATGCCTCGGATAACCGATCTAAGAATATTTGGATTTTGTTGACATAATGTGTATTTTAGACTATTATTAGTGATGTAATATACATTTTAGTGAGTTTATATCAATTATCACTCTTATCACGTTGTTTAATTTATATGTTGTATTATCTTTTGTACCTTAAATAGAAAAGTATTGCTAAAATTTTCTACAAATTATGCTATTAAGTGATCATTTTGTCTAGTCCAGTTAGTTCGGTCGAGATAAAACTGAACTAATTTGTTCGGTCCTGAGTTTTAAAACTAACGTATCTATCTTTGTTTTTAGATGATCAAACTTGCAAGATAACAGAAGAACACATCGGTTCGGTCGTAGGGGAGCACGCCAAAGACGGGCCGAACTGCTCGAGGCACCTGCGCTGCACACCGCGCGGCGCGCCGCCGGGTGCTGGCCATCCAGCGCAGAGCCCGCGCGCCGCGGCAGCAGCTGCCACTCGGCGCCCGCGCCCATCAGGTACGCACCGCACGGGATCAGCGCGCTCACCGCGTCGCCGCACGACACCATCCCCGTCTCTGGCGGCGGTGGCGCCACCGGACCAACAGCTGCTTGGCCTTGGCCCGCGAGGACCATCGTCAGCGTCGCCGCGACGACGATGATCACCATTCACGATGCGCCAACTGCGTGAGTGCAGGCGCGATTGTGCTGCTGCTCGTTGTAGCCGCGGGCGGCTTGTAGAGGTGGCGGAGGTCACGGAGATTGGTGGCGCACCTCAATGCGGCGGCCTTCACTGCACCAGCGACGACGTGCTCGTTGGCCGATCTCGGCGCGCTCTCATCTCAACCGCTCCGTCTGCAGGCGCGCACTGACGGACCAAAACGAGCAAGGCGCGCCCCTATTCGATTTGTTGAATGCTCTGCCATGTGCCGCCACCGGCTCTGTCCATGAATCCAACGTCCAACGGGCCTCACTTTTGGGGCTTCAGGCCTCCTCCCCGTGACCACTGGGCCGTGCTGCATCTGTATCTGTGAGCGGTGGACAGCACTCCATTGTCCATTCCTCTCTGGCAATTTGCTTGAGGATGCTGCAGGCAGGCAATAACTAATACTCCTTCCTATTCGTTTAGAGAATCAATCATGGCGAGTAGCTGCCTGCACTTGTGGCCTGAAGATTCGGAAAAAGAAATGAAACCAAACATGATATATATGGTGCTGTTTTGTTCAGTGAAACCGGCATTGCTGCAGGGAATATTACAACACAACAGACAGGCAGCAACAGAAAGCGCAGGCGGGCCGCAGGACTGCCAACGGGCGGCGGAAAGGTCCAGGCCGAAAGCATTCGCCTGCACGGCGTAGAGGGCAGTGCCGGTGCACCGCCACCGACATGTCGTCTGCCACACCGACGAACGGCCATGTGCCTGCTCAGGTTCACCCTCCACGAGCTCTCGAGGTGTTAACTGCAACCGACACCATGGAAACAACAACTGGTAAACGCGCACGCTTTCTGGCGCAGGAATTGGAGTTGCCTTCCAAAGAAGTTTGCTGTCACCGCGCGCAGGGTCCTGATCTCGCAACGTGAACGTGAATGGTTCTCGGAATTCATCGACCGTGTCCATTAACAAATCCGGGCCATGTCTAAACAAAGACGAGATTACGCAAACACGAGTTTGATGTTTAATGACTGTACTGACTTAATTTAAATTATTATGGACGTGTGTATTATCTCATACTATCAAACGTCCCCGTGCATCCAAGTGAGCGCGTTTAATGAATGATTGGCACCCAAATGTGGGGTATGTTCAAACGTATGAACAAGTGTATGCATATTAATTCACAAACACAGTTTCAATCTGGCCCGGAAATATTAGAGGAAATCTTGGAGGGAAATATATCAGAGGCGTTTGGAAAGGGCAAATGGATGCCCAGCCGCCTGTGTTAAACCTATTTGTAGAGACGGTTAAAGCTTTCAGCCGTCTCTAGAAATCAGTTTGTAGAGGCCGCTCTTGTTCCCAGCCGCCTCAAGTCTCATTTACTTACGCATCAGGCATGCATGGAGTATGAGTTGCTGGCTTGCTGCCATGGCACATTTGCACCTCCACAAGTTGAGCTGGTGGCAAACATGCATTCCTCTGTGGCAATTATACTTGCCTGAGCATTCTGGCCTGAGGCAACAAATTTTCATTCAGAGAATCAGGTCATGGTGAAACATGATGCTGTTTTCTTGAGTGAAAGAAACACAGCACCTCTGTTTTCTTGAGGGAATATTGCAGAACAAGAGACAGGCGGCGAGCGCAGGCAGGCCGGCGGCCCTCACTCGCCGTTGGACGTTGTTCCCTCTCGCCTGCACCTGCACCAGCACCAGCACCAGCAGCACCGACGTTTCGTCTGCCATACCGACGACTATCACTGCACCGATATGTCGCAAGAAAGGCTAAACAATGCCCATCTAACTGCAGCCGACACCATGGTACAATTGGTAAAGGCGCACGCGGGCCAGAAAACTGGAGTTGCCAGCGATCGAGGCTCACGGAATTCCAAAGAAATTTACCGCATCTGTTTGCTGTTTCAAGAGCAACGTCCTGATCTCGCAACGTGAATGGTTTCTCGAAATTCATCGACGCCTCCATTAAGAAACCCGGGCCATGTCTAAACAAAGCTGAGATTACGCAAACACGAGGTCCATATTCTATGTACTACTAAGTTTACTCCAGTGAAGTGGCAGTAGTATAAATAGCTAGCTAGCACTGGAACTGCAGTTTCACTCGGTGACGGTGAGTACAGAGGCACTTGTGAGTTGTAGTCTGACATCTGATCTTGTCTAGCGACAGGAGAGAACATCAGCTAGCTGTTAGTCACCGTCGTCAGCCCAGTCGACGCAGCACAGAGCAGATGCATATGGCTGCTGGTACCCGCACCGCCGGCAGCAAGCCGCCGTCGCTGTGCCTGCTGCTCCTCGTCCACGCGCTGCTGCTCATCGCATCGTCGACTGCCGCCGCCGGCCTCCAGGTGGGCTTCTACCGGTAGACCTGCCCCAGGCAGAGTCCATCGTTCAGAACGTCACCTGGGCGCGGGTGGCCGTGGACCCAAGCCTGGCGGGCAAGCTGTTGCGGCTCTACTTCCACGACTGCTTCCTGTAGGGGTGCGACGCGTCGGTGCTGCTGGACGGCCGGGGCACGGAGAAGGCGGCGCTCCCGAACCAGTCGCTGGGCGGGCTGGACGTCGTCGACGCCGCCAAGGCGGCGCTGGAGGCGGCCTGCCCCGGCACCGTGTCGTGCGCGGACGTCGTGGCGCTGGCCGCCCGCGACGCCGTCTCCTTCCAGTTCCGCCGCTCGCTGTGGCAAGTCGAGACGGGCCGCCGCGACACCCGCTTCTCCGACGAGGCGCACGCCACAGACCTGCCCAGCTTTCTGTTTGTGTTCACGCAACTCAGGGACTCCTTCGCGAAGCGGGGGCTTAGCGTCCGCGACCTCGTCGCGCTCTCCGGCGCGCACACGCTGGGACAGACGGACTGCCAGTTCGTGTCACCGAGGCTCTACAAATTCCAAGGCAACGGCGGGGTGGACCCGTTCATCGACCCGGGCTACGCGCGGGAGCTCATGCGGCAGTGCCCCGCCACGCCGTCGTCGTCGTCGCTCGGCAAGGTGGCCTTGGACCCCGGCAGCGAGTTCAGGTTCGACACCAGCTACTACGCCACCGTCAAGGCCAACCGCGGCGCGCTGCACACGGACGCCGTGCTGCTGCACGACGACGAGGCCGCCCGCCTCGTCGACGAGATGCACGACCAAGGCAAGTTCCTCACAGCCTTCGCCGCGTCCATCCAGAAGTTGGGAGCCTTCGGCGTCATCGCCGGCAACCAAGGGGAGATCAGGCGGAACTGCCACGTCGTCAACTAACGGGTGCAGCACCTTTTGGAACTGGATATGCATTATATTTGATTATCTCTGTTATTAGATACTGTAAGGAAATAAATTCTCTGCTGTAGCTTTCATATGCTTGTCTTGTTTTAGTTTTATGTTTCATTATGTCTACTTATTTGTCAATTGTAATTTAATTTCCTGGTTGTCAATTTCAGTTTCCGGTAGCTATTTCAGTGGTTCAGCTTCTGCTTTTAAATATTTCATTTTTTGTTTCAATGTTTATTTTAGTTTTAGTTTAATGAGTTATGAGTTTCCTTTTCCATTTTCCCCTTCAAGTTCGAATGCCTTCTTAAAACCTACATATCAGTTGTATAATAACTTACCCCTAAGTTGGTAGCTTTGCAATGCTTCTTTTAATAATTTCTCTCAAGGTGTAGCTTGTTTTATATTAGGTCGCGACTCTTGTCTCTGTAATAAATGTCCCTCCAATTGTCGGTTAGTCATGTTTCCCGGCTCATATAGTTGGTTATATAATAAGTTGCCCCTCGAGTTGACAGTTTTTGCAACGCTTGTTCTAATAATTTGCTCTCAGGTTTGTAGCTTGTCTTGTTTGTGCCCCTACACTCATTTTTTAATAAATGTCTATCGGTTAGCAGCAAGTCATGTTTTCTGGCAACCAAGGGGAGATCAGGAGGAACTGCCACGTCGTCAACTAGCGCTCCTCCACCTTTTGGAACTGGATATGCATTATTCAGTTATTGCTGATAGATAAGCAAATAAATTATCTCCTGTAGCTCTCTTATGCTCGTTGTTGTTTCAAAATTTACTCGTTGTCCGCTTAGGGGCTTGAGGGCAAGCTGTTTTGTCTAAACAAGGCAAGAGTACTGGTCGACTTGAGTCGAGTTTAAGCTGTCTTTCCAATAGCAATAGGGCACAGCCCGATGTAATGGCATACATGCAGTCATATGTGTGTTTCCTCCTTTCCGCTAAAGAAAGGCCAATTTTTTTTTTTATAACTTATACTCCGTCAGAAAAATTACTTCCATCAGAAAAAATTTGCAAAATTACTTCTGACAGAAAAAAAAATGCAATTCTAGCTCTGTTCCTAGTCAATGTATCTGAAGTTTAACCAAGTTTATAAAAAAAATACTTAATAGGTATACTATGAAAATACATATTCAAGACTAGTCCAATGATATTTATTTGGTATTAAAATATTGATTTTTTTATATAAACTTGGTCAAACTCGAGATTGTTCGACTAGATACTATACTAGAGGTTTGAGTTTATTTGGAGTACACAATCACACAAATGCTGCATATGCAAGATATCATGTACTCCCTTTATTCCAAATTATAAGTTGTTCTAGCTTTTCTAGATACATATTAAAAGCTATGTATCTAAAGATGCACAACAAAAGCCATGTACCTAAAAAGCCAGAATGACTTATAATTTAGAACAAAGCGAGTAGCATGTTAAAAAGATCATGGAGATTTTAAGAATGGACAAATCATTCTGAATGTCATCTGATATGGAGCAAACACAAAAATAGGGACAACTTAACACAATCAAGTAGAACCTTAGTCAATATATTATATATAGAGAGAGAACTCTGAAATTTCATGCGCCACAATTGATGACCAGCCACATGCTCATCCAACTGGCCCAAGGAGTTGGAAAGAATAATGAGCTGTAGCAAACAAGAAGAAACATAAGCAAGTTAGAACATGAAACGATCGATGTCAACTGTCATCATCTGATAAAAAGTTAATTCCGTTGATCCAATCATTAACTGCAATGTAAGTGTAGCAGGTGAGATTGGCTCACCTTAGGCCTGTTGTTGCTTCTTCTCAAGAGCTTTCTTCCATAGCTTTTGATCAAGGACCAATGTCATGTCTTGCCAACTGAGATAAATGGTATTATATGTCAATCAACATGTATTGGGCAAGGAAAACAGCAGAATGTTAATAAAAGGGACTTCGTACATCTACATACAGACATAACACAAAGAGAGATGTTATAAGCAAATATACTGTTCGTTCACAATGGAGGAAAAACATTTCTTATGCATCTCAGATGCTAAGAATTAAAACAGTTGAAAAGACACGACGAAGAATGGAAAACTATTAATTCCTTATAAGAATGAAATAATGGTCCATGAAATCTTAGGCCCTGTTTGGTTCCTAGGAATTGAGAGGAATTGGAAAATAATCTAATAATGAAATGGAGAAGCACTTTCTAGATATTGGTTTGAATTCATGGGATCCAAACAGGCCTTTAGCAAATTCGGATTACAAGATGCTTTATAATGCAAGATGAAAATAGTGTTCAAGTCCCAACACCTAAGACTCAGATCACGAGCCTGAAATTTGAGAGGTACCCGCCTCACCTTGCCCCTCCACTACATGTCAGCTCTGAATATCCCCAAAACAGCTATCAAAGCTATAGATCGACGTCTACGTGCTTTCTTTTGGACAGGGGATGATGTCTGCCATGGTTCTAAGTGTTTAGTGGCCTGGGAAAACGTTTCTATCAGTAAGAATGATGGGGGCCTTGGAGTTAAAAATTTGGAGCTTCAAAATAGATGCATGCTCATGAAATTCATTAATAAGCTTTTCTCCAATGAACCTGCCCCGTGGAAGCAATGGATTCTCCGAGATGCTGCAACTTTTGACACCCCCTCTAACAGTTCGACTTCATATCTTTGGCGGATCATTAATGATGAACTTACTACCTATCGTTCAATTACTTATGTGAAAGTTCGTGATGGTGCTTCTACTGCTTTTTGGTTTGATCATTGGCTCCCTGCTGGCCCTCTTTATGTTTCCCACTCTGCTCTTTTCTCTCACACTACTAGGCCTAATGTATCGGTTCAGGATGTTTTCCAAGCTAGGTTTGATTTGCGCCTCCGGTCCAGAGTCCAGACTGACAAATGCTGCTGCAACCCAGCTAGCAGACCTCCTTTTATGCTTGCAGGAAACCAATCTCGGCGACGGAGCTGATGAGCGGCTTCTGAAACATACTGGCAAAGTGTTCACCACCAGAGATGCTTACGCAACACCTGATCGCCGTTCAGAAACACCAGACATGCATGGGCGTCATATATGGGGTACACGACTTCCAAACAAAGTCAAGATTTTTGCCTGGCTCTACTTCAAGGACAGATTAAGCACGAGGGGCAATCTCTTCGCAAAACATGTGCTGGATGACGATGCTTGCCAACGGTGCTCTGGTTGTGTTGAAGATCGCCAGCATGTTTTCTTTGACTGCACTTCCAGTGCCGAGCTATGGCGAATGCTCCAGCTGAGCAGTGTTGCTGAACTGGCAGATGCAAATGTATGGACTGGATGTCCTCTCCCCCACTTGGATGCAAAAGTCTGTCCATTTGTGTTTCTTAGTCTTATCCTTTGGCGGATATGGGATGCTAGGAATGCTGAGGTCTTCGGAAGCGAGCCGTCATCAAGCCGCCGTATTATTACTAGAGTTTGTGATGATCTAGTTATTTGGCAAACACAGCTGAAAGTCGATCGTGATGTATCTAAACTTAGTCACTGGCGCTTGTTCCTGTCATCTTGTATCTCTTCGACACACTCCACGCTTTGATCGGAGCTCTTGTTTCTAATAAAATCAGGTGGGGAAGCTCTTCCCCCGTTCAACAACAACAACAACATAGCCTTTCAGTCCCAAGTAAGTTGGGGACTTTCAAAAAAAAAAGGAGAGGTACCATAACAAGAATTAGATTGAAATCCAGAAGAGACCATCCAAACATTTATACACATGGCAACTTGATGGCATAAGGTTCTGTAAAACCTATAGATAGGCTACAAAAACCATGCAAGTTTTATAAATAGGTTACTAGTGAAAATAATTTACAGAAATTATGAGAACCTTTTTTCTTATAATTTTCCGATTTTTAAAGACAACAATTCATATGGCAATCCTATATTGGTTAATCTACTAATACTCTGAATTTCATTTTAAACAATAAAAGTCAATTAGGAGGAGTATAGTAGGTGTTCGACATATTGGGGTGTCAGTATGCAAGCTCTCTAAATGTCTCTGTACTGTAGAAAACATTTATATAGATGAGTGAACAGTATCACGAACCTTATGATATAAATATTTGGATATCTTATATGGTTCAAGTAGTGCTAAATATAGAAAGTGTTGAAGTCCCACTCTTCATCAATTCGAGCCGACACTGATCATGTTAAGCTATAGTAAGAGCAATTTTGGGTGGTTTTGATGACTGACCTTGTGATTTTTAAATCAACATGGTGACTGGCACAAGAGAAAATACTACTCCCTTCCGTTCCAATTGAACTATGTTTTTTTTGGCTTCAGGTGCATTAATAAAGACGCAAGCTAAAAACTAAACTTTGAGATCATCTTTTTAAGAGGCTACACGCTACACAGCACTCAGTCTGCAGTAATCCCTGCTATCTATCAACGAATTGGTACAAACACACATAAAATCGCACACACATGAAGACTAGGCCCAAGCATATCAATCTATCAACGAATTGCAATGCCTGGTACAAACATGGTCTGACTCGCAAGCGAGAAGCGGGAATTGGTACAAAACCTAAGCGAGAGCATCAGAGCAACAGAGACACCGAGAGACGATACGGGGGTCGGGGACTCACGTCGCCGGTAAGGACTTGAGGTGGGAGGCGAGCGCGGAGGCGTGGTGGTGGACGCAGGCGGCCGCGCCGAGGGCAAAGGCGCCGGTCCAGGTGGAGATGAGCCGCTGCGGGTCGGAGTGCGGGACCGCGGGGTCGCCCCTGTACGCCCGCGCCCAGTAGTCGTCGAACTCGCCCATCCTCCTCCTCCCCTTCCCCTTCCCTGCGCCGCTGCGCGCGCAGGGTCCGGACACAAGAGCGCTTAGGTTAGGGTTTTTGTGTTTCGCACGGCAGGAAGGGAACAGGAGGGGGGCAGGAAGGGGGCCGTACCTGTTGGCTGTTCGTCGCCGGCGACGGGCTCGACGAAGACGCTTAGGGCGGCGATACGCTGGGGAAGCCGGGAGGGGATAGTGGAGCGAGAGGATAAGATCCCATGGAGATTTACATGGGCCGGCCCAGATCTTGCAGCACCGACCACCGACTGCAGCAGCTTGGGCCCGTTTCATGGCCCTGTTTGCTCAGGAGGCAGGTAGATCCTGTTTTGCAAACTTTTTACATGTTTCTATGTTTTTTCCTATATAAAATTAAAACTGACTTTTTTTAAATTAATTTGTTTCGGTAAAACTTTATGCGTTTCAAATGGGTCTTCAGTCAGTCAGTCGGCCACGAGGGGCTATTTGGATGACGACTTCCAAGTCAACGTCTGACCGTGCACGTGATTAAGCGTCCCAAATCGAAAGAACGTCTTGGAACGTGCCACAAAATGTAATGCTATGATTAAGGCGTTCGTCCGAGCGTATGTGTCCGGACGCCCTCGTTCTCGGACTTACGCAGCGATCAGGCCAACAGGCCATGTTTCCCTCTACGCTCTCTCCTCCATCTCTATCTCGCGACAGAACCGTCACCGATAGAAATTCGCGGCTTCACCGCATCGAGTGCCCGCCCCACTCCGCCTCGCTGCCGCAAGTGCCGCGATGCCCCCCATCCTGCTCCGCGCCGCATCTGCCGCCACGCCACGCCCACTCCTCCTCCAGAACCTCGTTGACGCTGGCGTGGTCGACGAGTCGAACGTCTTTGTGAAAGTGCATCTAGCCCTTTAGTGGGTTTTGGTTGATTGAATGACAACGTGATTAAAGGACTAACCCGTTTGCTAAGTGTGAACAGGTAATAGGTTATCTCACAGGTACTTAATGAAAGCCAAAATGATGTGTTGTTGTATAAACAATCTAGTTCAAGCACAAGACAACAATGCAAATGGAATTCATGTGAAGGCTTATTTTTTGTGGGATTTCCATGTACTATGTGAAAGCAAGCTCATGATTATTAGTTAATGAGACATGAGGGATTGTATATGGAATGGTCTCATATTTGAAGCTTGCTAAATTAAAATGAAAAAGATAACAATACATATGAATGGATGATTCAACACAAGATGTGACTTGATGGCTTGAGATGGTGAAGATAGCAAGGAAAGGCTTCGAGGTACTAAGAAGGGTGAAGGGCAAGCGACGGCTTGGCGGCCGAAGAACCTAGCTAGGGTGAAGAAGAAAGCACTTGCATTTAGTTGAGGTACTAATCAAGCTAAGATGGTCATATTGATGTGAAGAATCAAATCTATAATGAAGTATTTGATGGAAGTGACTTGATACGTTTGGGGTTATTCAAATTTGATGAATGGAATCAAGTCACATGCTCAAGATGGCTATGCTCAAATGAAAGATCAACATCAACTTGTTAGCACCCTTACTTGATGAAGATTGGAAGGGCGGCATCAATTCAAAAGAAATCAACTCAAGTGGTATAAATTCATTTTTCCTTTGATCTTGAGTTTAATAGGTATGCCGTACTATTAAGAGGGATGCATCATGTTGATAGATAATGTTTCATAAGTGCTCAACCCAACCCATGTGAGGTTTGATTATTTGAGCGACAAATGTGCTAATCGATTTCTTGTTGGTGATGCAGCAATACCGGACGTGTCCGGTATTCATACCGGACGTGTCCGTGTTTGTCCAAAGAAATGTAAAATTATTGTTCTCGGGTTGCTTTGTCGGGAGTTCCGACGTAGGTCGGGAGTTCCGACGGTCGGAGTCCCGGCATGGGTCGGGAGTTCCGGCGTCTCGCACTTCAACAGACTTAGAGGTTTCACTGTCCTGGTCATACCGGACGTGTCCGGTATTCACACCGGACGTGTCCGGTATGGATGACCGAAAGCCAACGGCTAGTTTTCAAAAGCCGTGAGGGTCGGGAGTTCCGACATGCGTCGGGAGTTCCGACACCTCACTAACTTTAACTTCGCCATATGTGTTTTCAAAATTGCCGAGGGTCGGGGTTCCGACTTGAGTCGAGAGTTCCGACGGTCGGAAGTCCCGCATACTTGGGAGTTCCGGCGCCTCACAACATCATCAACGCAACTTAGTTATCGTTGGCGCGATGCGAGTCATACCGGACGTGTCCGGTATGCATACCGGACGTGTCCGGTATTACAACGGCTATAAACGGCTAGTTTTTCAAGGGGGCTATAATACCCCAAGCCTCCACCTTTGGAGGTCACTGATTCTCACTGAGATAGACACATGTTTTTGAGCCTTGCCAACTCTCCTAAACCCTCTCTTAGTGAGTGTGTGATCCAAATTGCAAAATCAATTTGTGGGTTGAGAGAGAATTTGAAAAAGAGAGCAAGCCACCACTTGAGCACTTGTGCATATTGTCAATCTCGTGATTCGCATTTGTTACTCTTGGACTCTTCGGTCCTAGACGGTTAGGGCGTCACGGAGAGCAACCGAGAGATTGTGGTTGCTTCGAAAAGTTTAGAATTACGATTCACCTACCTCGGAATCAAATTAGTGGAAGGAGGAAAAGGAGTTGGAAAAGACTCAGCTAGAGTGACCTTCGTGGTACCCTCTAGGGCTGACCTTCATTGGTCGCCCGCAGCCCCTCAACGGAGAGTAGGACTCGAACGAGTCCGAACTTCGATAAAACAAATATCGTGTCTAAATTCACATTTCATTTGATATTTGTGTTGCTCTAGCTGCTCTGCAGTTTCTCTCGTGTATATTGTCATCTCCATTAGGTGCCTGCAGTTTGGTTTGAAGATAGAAATCGAAATGAGCAAGTTCGGGGCCGATTTGCGAGAAATCGTATATCTGGGACATCGTCCGGTATTCATACCGAGATATCGTCCGGTATTTCTTGCCTGCACTGAAAATATTTATTCTCTGTTCTAACTTGGTGTTGCAGGGTTTGTAGCTTCTAGATATATTCTTTATACCTTGTTTACTTTGTGGCTAACTTGTGAGGGGTGGTAGTACTCTTAATTTGGAGTTTCCATTTTGGAAACTCCCCTTTCTAATTGTTTCCGCATTTAAAGGTGTTATTTTTCAGAAATGCCTATTCACCCCCCCCTCTAGGCGGCATCCTAGGTCCTTTCAATTGGTATCAGAGCGAGGTTCTCACCTAAAGCTTCACCGCCGTGAGAAAAGGATGTCGACGCCTATCGAGTTGGAGCCGGTGCTTCTCCAAAATAATGGTTCAAACTTTCTAACTTGGTCAATACATGTACTCAATGCTTTTAGAGATATTAGTCCTCTTGTTGAGCATATTGTAGATGCAAGCATACCTCTTTCTATAGTTGATTGGAGCAACTACAAAAATTTATCAAAAGAGGAAGAAATATGCGTGCAACTCAATGCTCAAGCTATTAATATTATTTTGAGTACATTAAGTGTAGAGGTTCAAGATGAGGCAATATTCAATGGACAACCACCTCCGGAGAGTGCTCATCTCATTTGGACTAGACTTTTGATTTATATGGAAAATCCAAATGTGATGATGCACTTGAGATCGAGTCAATGGAAAGAATATCCATTGTGTCTTCATACAAATGAAGAAGCCTCACAAAACCTCAAGAGTGCCGAGCCGAGCAAGAAGTGCAAGCAAGACATGACCTGTGTTGTTCTGCATGTACTGGACGTGTCCGGTATGCCTACGGACGTGTCCCAGTATGGCCGAGGCAACAGAACCAAACAAGCAAATTGTTTGTAGCAATGCTCAAGCCCGATGGCGACCAAGTGATGAGTCAACCTCAGTATCTCATGATACTCATCACTTGTGTCTCATGGCCAAGAAAAGCAAGAAGAAGAATAACAAGAAAGATCAAGAAAAGGAGAAAGCACAAGTAGATGATCAAGATAAGAGTGATGTTGAAATTGAAGACAACTACAACCTTGATCATCTCAACCATAAAGACAAGTTCATCATCATGAAGATAGTTGAAAAGAATGATGAGCTTGAAGAAGAGATTGAGAAGCAAGAGCAATCGCTCAAAATCAAGAAAAGTTTCTCATCTCCAAATTGCAAGAGCTAAAGGCAATAAATGAGAGGTATGAAAAATTGTCAATCGAGCATGCTTTAGTTACTAATTCCTCTTCTAGTGTTTCACAACTAGAGAAGGAAAACTTCGAGCTCAAGGCAAGGCTAGATGAACTATCAAGCAAGTATAATGAGCTACAAGCAAATTATGTTCATCTAAAGTGCTCTCATGAGGAAGTAGTAGAATCAAGCATCATGCTTGAGGTGGCTCATGAGGTTGTGATTACATCGGTAAAATTCTCTCAACCTCTCACATCCGCTCACTAGTACACCATCTCAAATAAATATTTCTTGTACTAATGAGTGTGCTCCTCAAGCAAGCCAATCTTCGATTGAGCTAAATCTTATAGAAAACATAGAGCTCAAAGAAGAAGTGCAAAGATTAAAGAAAGATGTGATTCGGTTGAAGGGTAAGGAGAAAGCACAACCTTCTCAAGATAACCGTGATAACATGGTGAAGAAGCTTGAGAAGGGTTCAAACCTTGCTTCCTCCAAAGCCCAACAAAAGAATCACATCTCAAGCAAGGCCAACACAACCAAGAGCAAGAAACATGGAAAAAGGATGTGCTATGGTTGTGGATTGTATGGACATGAGTGGGCTATGTGTCCACACAAGAGTTGGGCCGACAAGGTTGAAGCCGCCAATCAAAAGGCTTCTACCAAGGAGGCCAAACAAGTGAAGAGTCATGGACAATGTGCTTGTCTCATGAGCAAGAAATTGGGGCATCCTACCAAGAAATACCCAATGAACAAAGAAGTAAGAAAGCAAGCCCAAGTTGCAACTAGAAGATGCTATGGGTGCAATGAGATGGGCCACAAGGTTGATGGA